ATGATGATGATGATAATAAAAAATAGGTACTGAAGGTGAAACCCTCGTCAGCCAGCTCACTCCAGGATCTCTTTCTGATTCCCTAAATGTAATATTGGCACTTCATCCTCTTGACCTGTAATACTCCCCTATTCTACGCATCCTGTCTACCTACCTACCTGCCCACCCATTCCCAACATCATGACGGCTTTGCGGGAGGAATTTCACCTTTGCACCCCAGAGGAGCTCAGCACACATCTGTTAAGTGAATAATCGAGAGGGGGGACCCCTGAACTGACTGAAGGGGACAGGCCAAGGGGAACAGCCGGTTTGACCAATGGACTCTGATGACCAGGAGGGGGTAGAGAAGAAAGGACTTACTCACCATCACGGGCCCCGTCATCAGCAGGGAGCAGCCATGGCAGAACTCCCCGAACTTCCCCCAGTAGTCCTTGTGGCAGTAGAGCTTGCCATCCTTCTCATAGTACCAGTTGGTAAGGGAGTCCTGGCACTCTGAACACCTGAAGGGCAGGACAAACACAGAGGAACCCTCCTGAATTCCTGGGACTGGAGCGCATAGACAGACAGACAGTCCTCTATCTGACCCAAAGCCAAGCCTGGGAAGAGTCACTGCTCAACGCAGTTGGCCCAGGGGACACCTGTGTGGAGCGACCAAGGCCACTAAAAGCATGGCTGTGTTGTGAGCTTCTGTTGGTACCAGTTTCTTAACCAATTTGGGCTATTGAGCCCTCTAAAGGCCAAAGGGACTTCCTTAGAAGAATGTACGTGCAAAGAAAATGTGTATCTATGTGCCGTCAGGAAATCAAAAGATGAATTACATTGGAAAATCTCCAGGGACCTCTCCAGAGTACTGAAAAGCAACAATGTCAGTCCAGAGACTAAGGGTGTGCCTAATCCAGGCCACGCTCTTCGCAATTACTTGCTATGCATCAGAGAGCTGGACAATGACTAAGGATGACAGAAGAAGAATCGATACCTTTGAGCTGTGGTGCTGGAGAAGAGTCCTGAACATACCATGGACCACCAAGAAAATCAATAGGTCTGTCTTGGAGAGAGTGAAACCAAGTTTCTCATTGGAGGCTATGATTTTGAAGCTCTGTCTCACATACTTTGGGCATGTGGCCAGGAGGGACCAGTCCTTGGAGAAGGACATCATGCTCGGAAGGGTGGAGGGTCAGCGACATAGAGGAAGACCTTCAACAAGATGGACTGCCACAGTGACTGCAGCTCAAGTGGGGCTCAAGTGTGTCAGAGATGGTGAGGCTGGCACAGGCTAGGACAGGGCTCACTTCTGCTGCTCACAGGCCACTATTAGTCATACCTTATTTTATGGCACCTAACAACAACAACAACAACAACAATCTTTGACAGCACTGCTGATGTAAGTAGATTTCATAATGATGTTGTTGGGCCATCAATTCATTACAACCCCTTGCAGCCCTATGAACAATGGCTCTGAACCTTGCTCTATCCTGAGCCAACCTCACTGTCTCTGACATATCTAATCCCAATGCCACAGACACTGCGTCACTCAATCATATCTAAGGCTGTCCCCTTCTTCACTGACCTTTCCAACCATGAAGCCTTGCTCCAAGGACTGGCCTCTGCTGACAACATGCCCAAAGTATGTGAGATGGAAGTTTCTAAATCTTTGCCTCCAAGGAGCAACCTGATTTCATTCTTTCCAAGACAGACCTGTCTGTTTTCTTGGCAATCCATAGCATGTTCAATACTCTTGTATTATTGTTATGTGCTGTCAAGTTCAGTACAACTCAAAGTGACCCTATGAACAATAGATCTGAACTTTGCTGTGTCTTGAGCCAACCTCACCTCTCTGACACGTGAACCCACATTCTCCAGCTTGTTGCCCATATTTTAAGTCCATGTTAATCCTAAAGAAGCAATCAGACAAGGGCAAAATGTGAATCACTGTATAAAACTACTGGTCCTGGCTCTTCCAAAGTTAATGCTACAGGAAGAAAACAAAGGAACAAAGATTCAAAAAAGTATAGAGATACAAGAAAGCAAATATAAGACTTAAGCCTTGGATTTAATTGGGGGAGGACCACAGCTGTTAGCATAAATTTTTTTAAACAATTGAGAGAATTTTAATTTGGACTATTTATTATGAAATTACTGTCAATTCTCTTAATGTGATGATGTTTCAGTTATGTAGGAGAATTCTCAGGAGAAACATGTTAAAGTATTTAATGGCAAAGACTCAAGTTACACAGCTTACTTTTAAGTAGCCCAGGAAAAGAGAAAAATAAAACCCAAAACAACAAAATACCACTCACAAACGAGAAAATTTAGCAAACAATGAATTAAAGGCATGCAGAGGATCTCTGAAATATCTTTTAAACTATTTGGTAGATTTGAAAATAGTCACAATAAAATGTTGGGATGCTCGAGGCCACTTTCTACCTAAATAAATTAGCTGGGGTAGGGTGAGGTGGGTGGAAGGAAAGATATGGGCGAATACAGAGGTCCTTTAAAAAAATTACCTACATGATACCAAGTTTCAAACAACTGCTTTCAAACCAAGATGAGAACTGTAAGAGGGCAGGGCAGCTAGATGAATGGAAATGGAGTAACCAGAATGGAAACAGACTGTCTACGCATTGCAAAGAATGTACTCAATGCCATTCGACAACCTGGGTAGAGACTGGTGAATGGGAACCTAAATTTCTGTGTAAAACTTTACTGAAAACATTACTGTTAGGTGCTGTGAAGTCATGTATAACCCATAGTGACCCTATGAACAACAGATCTGAATCCTGTCCATCCTGTATCAGCCTCACACTTCCTGACACACTACAGCCCATGGCAGCAGTCACTGTGTCAATCCACTTGGTTAAGGGGCTTCCTGTTCTTCACCAAACTTCAGCCCTTCTGAGCATCATGTCCCTCTCCACAGGATACAGTAGGAGGGAAATTTTAGGAGGGAAAAACAAAGACTGTATTAGCATTGCCCACGACGGAAATGTGAGGACTGTGGCTCTTGCTGGACAGTCACCTGGTTGGGAAGCTCTATTTCTCAGTCAGGCTGGGTGTGTTCTTGGGCCAGGTCTACACAGACAACCTACTCCTCATTTTGAGTCTTTCAGCAGAGTTAAGAATGTCCTGGGCTGCCCACTCAGTAAAACGTCTTTCTTTATAGTGAGCAGACTCTGTGCTCTTGTTGCAAGTTCTTCTGAGAGGCAGTTTGAAGCTGGAAATACCTGAGGTGGCTTCAGACGCTGCCACTTACTAGTGGTGTGGTTCACTTCTCTGACTTAGCTTCCTCATCTGTAAAACGGACTGCTGTGAACCATATGAAACTGTTATTGCTGTTGTTAGGTGCTGTAGAGTCAGTTCTGACTCGTACAAACTTATGCACAGAACTAAACACTGCTAGGAACTGTGATGCTGTTGTTATGTGCCTTCGAGTTGCCTGCTATTCATAGTGACCTTATGTACGGCAGCTCTGAAGCCTGCCCCGTCCTGAGCCAGTCCCACTGACTCTGACACATCTACCCCTCATTGCCCCAGTTACTATATCAATCTATCTCATCTGGGGTCTTCCTCTCCTGCACTGTCCCTCCACCCTTCCGAGCATGATGTCCTTCTCCAAGGACTGGTCTCTCTTGGCCATGTGCCGGAAGTCTGGGAGACAGAGCTTCAAAATCCTAGCCTCCAAGGAGAAACTCAGTTTCATCCTCTCCAAGACAGACCTATCTGTTTTCTTGGCAGTGCAAGGTATGTTCAAGACTCTTCTCCAGGATCACCACTCAAACGCATCAATTTTTCTTCTTCTTCTTCTGTCATCCTTTGTCATTGTCCAGCTCTCTGATTAGGCACACCTTAGTCTCTATACTGACATCACTGCTTTTCAGTACTCTGGAAAAGTCTCTGACTCAAAGTTATTATGTTCAAACCCACTGCTGCAGCCACTGTGTCAATATCTTATTCCAGTCTTCTTTATGCTGTCCTTCTGTTTTACTGAGCATGACATGATTTAGGGGGGGACTGGTCTCTCCTGATGCCGGGTGAGAGGAAGCCTTGCCATCTTTGATCATAAGCAGCATTTGGCTATACTTCATCCAAGGCAAAGTTGCTTGTTCCTCTGGAAGCTCATGGTATATTCAATATTTTTTGCCATTGCCATGATACAAAGACTTCAACTCCTCTTTGGTTTCTGGCTTTCAAATGCTTCTGACTGAGATTACCCTAGCTTGGGTAGGGCCCACCTTAATCTTCAAAGTGACCTCTTTGCTCTTTTAACTTTAAAGAGGTTCACTGAGGCAGCTTTCAATACGCTGTCTCATTTCTTGACTGTTGCTTCTTGGACATTGACTGTGTAACCAAGGAAAACTAAATTTTTGGGAAGGTGAGTATTTTCTCCATTTACAATGTAAATTATTGGTACAGGTGCAAGGATTTCAGTGTTTCCTTTTTATTAAGGTGTAATCCATATTAGAGGCTGTAGTACTTTCAGTAATTGCTTCAAGTCTTTGCTTTCACAGAGCAAAGCTGTGTTTCAAGGAGCCTTCCTACTATTCTGATGCTACATTACCCTTCATTTAGGCTAGCTTCTCTATTTGTTCAGCATATAGATGACTTAAGGTGAAAGAATCCAGCTCTAATACACACCTTTCCAGATTTTAAATCATGAGCTATTCTCTTGCTCTATTTAAATGATTATCAATGTACAAGTTCTATATGAGCAGAGAAATGTTCTGGAATTTTCATTCTTCAGAATGTAATCCATAACCCATTTATAGCCCAAACAGTTTGCACAATGAATTAGAGGTAAATATTTTTCTTGTATTCTCTGCATTTGGCCAAGATTCATGTGGTATCAGCAAGGATAGTCTTCATTCCATGTTCTCTGCTGATTTGAGCTAGAATTTCTGGCAGACCTCTGCTTCTCCAATTGTTTTTAAATTACTTTCAGCAAGATTTAACTTGCATGTGACTTTTGTCACTTGCAGTGACTGTGTGTATTGTTTCTTTTTTTTTGTCATTTCTTGTGTTCTTCTACATTTATCTTTAGTATTGCAACTTCATGCTTGAATTTTTCTCTTCCTTTTTTTTTTCAGCTTGAGAAATGTCCACTCTTTCCTTTTGGTTTAAAATCAGAAAAGGTGTGTACTAGAGCTGGATCCTTTCACCACACATCATCTATATACTGAAGAAAAAATTAGAGAAGTTGGACCACATGAAGAGTAAGGGAGCATCAGAATAGTAGGAAGGCTCCTTAAAACACAGCTTTGCTTGGTCAAAGACAAGACTTGAAGCAATTACTGATGGTGACCAAATGCTACAGCCTCTAATATAGATTACATAAATTAATATAAAAGAAACACTGACATCATCATACCGGCACTACTTTCAACTGTAAATGGAGAACATATTCACCTTCTCAAAACTAGTTTTCTTTGGATCCATAGTCGATGGTTTTTGCACATTCCAGCACAGTATTTTACTTTTTGTTCCTGAGCTATGCTTTGAAATCTTC